CCCCCCCCCTTTCAACTCCACCCTAGCGCGCCTCGGGGTCAACCGTTCGAAAACACTGTAAATATCAGTGTTTTCAGCTCTTCCAGTCCTCAGCAGTGACCAAAAATCATGGAATTTACAGCGTTTTTTTGTGGCTGTCCGGCAAAAAACACCGCAAAAACCGATGGTTTTTGATGCGTCTCGGTTAGAAAATGACCGAAAAAAGAACAAAAACCAGGAAAGATTTTGTCAGAAAGGGTTTTTGAGGCTTTTGGAGGCTTCAAAATTGCACAAAATTATGGTATTTACAGGGTTTTGTGCACCTTCCCGGCAGAAAACGCCGGTATTTACATGGTTTTCTGCGCTTTTCCAGCGCTCAACCGTGGTGCGCCTTTGGATCGACGGCTACAAAATACCGTAAATACCAGTGTTTTCAGCTCCTCCTGTCTTCAAGCGTGGCCTTAGACCTTGCCGCGGCTGTGGATCGACGGCAACGAAACCTTGTAAATACCAGTGTTTTTGAGCACGTCCTGTTTGCAAGCATGGCCTGCGGCCACGCAATTTACAGGGTCGCCGCACGTCACTATGTAAATCCGAAGTTGCGTTTGAGAAATATGTGACTCCTTTTGAAGGCACGTCAACCTGTATTGAAACCGCTAGACCGCTACAGCTTCTGGAGGTTTTGTCAAGCGTTTGTGCACTAGTCTTTCTTTCATCACGCTCACTCACTTCTCTTCAAGCAAGTGGGGGGCCTCTCACCTCCTCCCGGATTACGCCTGATTCCCTGCTACCTTTCGTTCACCCCCCTCCTCTCTCAAGTTGTATTTAAACTATGATTTAATCTAAGTTTCATCGTTTCAAATAGAATAGGGTTAGAAGAAAGATAGAATTGAAATACGATTGCTTAACCTGCAGCTCGATTAGAATTCACTTACTGTAATAATGAATGAGAATTGAACTTGAATGAGAATTAAAGTTTAACTGACATTTACAATAGAACTAGATTAGGATTGAATTCAATTTCAATCAGAACTGAATACAAATCAAATTGGAAATTGAAACTAAACTAATGTTAAATCATTTAGATTCAAATTTGAATTCAATCAGGTTCAAATTCGAGTTTAAAATCCTAAGTTAGAATTAAGTTAGACTAAAAAATATGTGAACTAGAGTTCAATAGAATGAATCTTAATTAAGATGTCAAGTTTTTGACATTCAGTTCAACTTGGGTTTAAAGCAATACGCTGAATTTGCATAACACTTAAAATAGAATTGGATTAGATCTAAAGTTGAAGTCCACTGGAAATAGAAGACAATTTGTATTTCAAAATGAACATTTGATTATATTACAATTCAAATCTAAATCAACTTCCAATAAATTTATACAGGTTGTGCAAACGCCCAAAGGACCAAAACATTGAAAAAATTGAGGATAGTTTTTGGTTCAGCCTCAAAAGATCTGTTTTTGTTTTCATTGTGTGTTTTTTGTGTTGAGATCCAAAAACAAAAAAACATCGCGGTTTTTGAAGGTTTATTGTACTAGAACACTGCCAGAAACAAAAAATACACGTGTATTCTTTTTGGACTATTTGATGTTTGGTTTTACCATTGCAGACGTTTGCGTTCAGGAAGTTTATGAATGCTCCTTCCACATTGTACTCAGCGCAAAACCCAGAAATAGCGTTTACAAACGATTGCAAAAAAGAGGGAGTTCAAGATTCAAGACTCAAGATTTCAGATTCAAGATGTAAGATTCAAGGTTCAAGATTCAAGGCCTAGAAAGAAGTTCTTGAATCCTGTTTTCACAACTTGAACCCAGGATCCAGAGTTTGGAACCCTGGATTCAAGAACATTTTTCTAGGCCTTGAATCTTGAAACTTGAATCTTGAACCCCCTCTCGTTTGCAAACGTTTGCATACGCTATTTCTGGATTTTGTGCTGGGTACAGTGTGGAAGGAGCATTCATAAACTTCCTGAACACAAATGTTTGCAATGGTAAAACCAAACATCAAATACTCAAAATGGGGGATGTGTTTTATGTGTTTCCTTTCATTTGTTTTTGTTTTTTTGAATTGGGAAGTGCTTTGTTTTTTGCTAGATTTTTACACTGAAAAATATGCATACAACACTGTAAATACCAATCAAAACCAAAAGAGGTAGACATTTGGGGGGGTTCCATAAAATATATATATGGGGACACCCCCATGACCTAGCTAGAGCTGTTTTCTGTGGGCCTACCCATACAAAAGCTAGCTGCTTAAAATGGTTTTTGTAACATGTGTTTAACGTGTGCAAAAGCCTCCGCTGTTTATCATTAAGTGACAAAAAACAAAACAGAAACAACACATGCACTCTCTTTTTTCTGGAAGTTTGGCTTCAGGCTTATGTTTTTTGTTTTTGGTTTCGCTTACTTGTTTTCTGTCTAAGATTGCCAAAACATTTGATTATTTTGTGTGTTTCCCATTGTGATAAAAGAAACAAAAACAACACAAAGTCTGAAGCCAAATTTCTCAAAGATTTTGTCTTTTTTGGTGTTTGGTCAACAGTTGTTAAAACTAGAAGGTTTTTTTAGCACGTATGTTTTAAACACTCCTTTAAACCAGCAGGTTTGTAGCACTAATCCTTTTGAATTTCCGTTGACATTCTGTTTGATTCTAATATATACGGTATTCCACTTACTTTTTCGTTGGTTCCTATTGATTTCCTTTGTAGATTGCTTAATCAGTTTAGTTTGGGTTAGCCCTGCAATCACGTCTACGCTTTTCATTTTTCTTTATGTTTATTTGTGAATGCTCTTATAAAATGTCATTTGCCTTTTATTGATTTCCTATTGAATTCCTTTCCTCTTGTTTTTAGATTAGTCAATCAATTTGTTCTATTATCCTCCATCATATTTCCAATCAAAATATCACAAAAAAAATTCCAGAAAGGGGTTAGCCCAGTACGCCAGAATCTTGAATAGGAAAACCATCTATATACATCAACGTTTGTCCCTTTTCGCTCTAATATTAGCGTCCACTGAGTTTATGTTTGCACTTTTTCATTCTTCAATTATACTTCCCTCTCAAATATCGTTTGAAAAAATCACATCCCCTGCAATGATCCCGACCCCCTTGGTGGATTGATTTTTGCAATAGTGTGATATAATATTAAAAGGGATTATCTAAGCAAGAAAATAACCAAAGAACTCAAAAGGTAATCAACAGAAATCAAGACGACATCAAAGGGAATCAACAAGAACCAACACGAATTCAATAGGTAATCAATAAAACCACAAAGAGTTTTCGCAAGGAGTTTTCCTTTTGATTTCTATTTACATTCAGTAATCAATTTCTTTTTATACCCGTATCAAATTATATCAAACTATCATACTATTGCGCAATCTTTTCCACAAGGGTTACCCCACCACGCTAGAAATCTTAAAAAAATAGCTTCACCCTTCAATAATGTTTGCCCTGTTTGGCTTTAATAAACACATATAAACACATCCTCCGCAGTCACATCTACGCTTTTCATTTTTCTCTATCTTTATATGTGAACTCACATTTGTTTAAAATTCTTGTTGCATTGATGACATTGATTTCACTTTTTTGTTGATATCCTTTTAAATTCCTGTTGATTTCACTTTAAGCTCTTGAGTTGATTTCTTGTTGACTCCCTTCTGAATTCTTGTCAAAGTATTGCAAAAATCTATGCCACACAGGGGGTAGCCGAGTACAGAAAAGCAGCTGACAAGCAGGAAAAGGTGAAGAGCTGAGATTAACGAAAAGTGGAATACGAAACGTGGAAGATCTCAAAAGCGGAAAAGCGGGAAAAGGTAGATCATGGGGGGCGAGCGTTTATATATATATACATTACGAAAGCCAGCCGATAGGCTAGGCTGAAGTGCTTGATGGGTTGCGAGGTGGTGCCTGGCGGGTAGGGTGAACCCAGAGCCTGGTGGGGGAGAGCGAACAAAAGGCGGTGGCCAAAGTGTATTCAAAATGCATGTTTATACGGGCCTTGGCGATGCGAGTGACGCCAAAATGGTTTAATAGTGCATCAGTAGCATCACAAAGTGGCCAGGACACCACTTAAGTGGACAGCAGCCTGTCTAATTGTGTGTGTGGTTACTTCCCGGCATGGACGCGCGGGCTGCCACCGTTTTCTGTACTGCTTTGCTGTAGAGACATGCAGGCAGGCTTTATACTGGCAGCAGTGAGTGCGTAGAACACCATCTAAGTGGTCCAAGAGATCGTGGGCCACCGTAAGTAGCGGACCCAACGGGAAAGGCCATGTGCGACGGTGCCGTTTTTGATCGCTTTGTCAAAGTTATGGGGAAGATGGGCACCAGCAAAGGAGTGCTATCTTCTGGGATCTAGCAGGCCCCCCCAAGCAGCTGTAAAGAAAACACGGTGACAGACTATGTTTGTCAGTGTCTACAAAGGCTGGCTTTCGTCCCCTGCTTGTTCAGGTATATATATGTACATATATCAATAGGCCTTGACCCTTTTCCTATATTGACTTCTCATTACGCAGCCCGTTCAAGTATTCACATGGAATGACACCAAAGTCACCAAAGTCATACCCAAAGATGGTCTAAAGGTGGCCCAACTCAACAACGACCCATCCGAGCCTTTGCGCGATTGACTCTGCACTTCACACTCCGCAAAACAATGTCTCTCTCTCTCTCTCTCGCTCTCCCCTCTCTCTCTGATTGGAAAGACCACACTGGTGCACAAGAAGTGCGCGTGTTTTTGAGTAATTTCTTGGAGTTGACCGGTGAAAAAGGATTGCTCTTGTATAGGAATGTACTGAACCTTTCTGACGAATCTTCGCTTCCAACGCATGTCACTCGTCAAGGTTGTGCTTGTCGATAATTTTATATAACAAGTTGTGTTCTGTCCTCTCATTTGGGGGCCTTTTGATTGTCCTGCACAAAAGATGTGTTACTTCCGCCACTTCCATGTATTTGTTTGTTATTTTTTGGAGCATGCACATCCATCCATCTTAAGGGGATGATCAGGTGAGCAAAATAGGTTAAAACACATAGAACACGACGTCCTTGACAATGGAATTACAATTACACCTCATATTCAATCTTTGTTCGTGCAAGAGGAAGGTTGACGCGAGATTCAACCGTTTTTTTCCAGACAGCCGCCAGCGTCCTAAGAGTCAAAACGACTGCATCACTGTTGCTTGTGCGCTGCACATTTTACTTTACAGTTTTACAGGTGTTTACACAAGCCGGAATAATGCAAACCAACAAAGGATGGATGAGGTGGCTAGACCCCGTTATTAATGCCGAACATGGTGAAAGGAAGAGCACGTTTGCTGCTCCTGCGACTGCTGTGGGTTTATATCCTTTTGTTTGCAATGCTTGCTATGGTGATTCTGCAGTTGCAACATGTTGGGTCTTCTATCCTCAGCACGTTCATCACCTTGCTCACACAATACTTTCTCAAGTTCGCAACAACACCATCAGACATCATCCTTATTGTCATCGTGATCGTCAGTGTCAACATCTTAACAATGTATAAGAATTGAAAATAATAGCAACCATAATCATCAAAATGGATTTCACTATATACATTTTGCAACATCATAATCTGTTTTACAAAATTGCCAATTGAATTGTCACTGGCTCTTACTGTAAGTGTCAGAAGGACCGTGCGATTGAACTGGGGTGTGCAGGGTGGACCGGGTAGGTGGCTATTGATGATCGGCGTGATTGCAACGAAGAACGATGTTGTTGCTTCGTGAATGATTTGCTGCGGCGCTTGAGGGGTGTGGAGGGTTCTAGGTCCAGAGGTTGAGGGGAGCAAAACCTGGGCAGCTTTTGGATGCAGATTCAGGCCAAAACAATACAAAACACGCGAAAGTGCTTGGCTCAGCCTTCCCATTCACCCAACATGTTGTAGCCAAGCCAGGAAAATTGCTTGAGTTTGATTCACACTCCTTAGCTTCGACCCCATACTGTTAATACTACTCGTCTCCGAACTCTCAACCTCATGCCTTACTTTTTGTGCCTAAAGGCCTTTGCAGGGTACATATCTTAGATGAGACAGTATCTATGTATTGCACCAATTTACAATATTTCACAATATAGTACTTAAAATTGCTTAAACTATATTACATACGATTTGTGATATGAGAAGTAAAGTAACCGGTGGGGAAGCTTGGCAGAGCATGCACGGGCATTTGTGACAGGTACAATCCGAGCCGAGGGCACTGGGGAGACTATTCCGGGTTCGTACCGGAACAACAGGTCTGGACCTTGAGCACTTTTAGGTATGATGACTGTATGAGGCCATCGCTCTTAGGTTGGAGGCCATTGCTATTAGGTTAGAGGCCATTGCTATTAGGTTAGAGGCCATTGCTACTAGGTTCCTTTTGTCATTAGATTGGAGGCCATCTGTATATACTTAAGGATCCTTATGGAGGATCCCTGAGCATCGTTGAGCATTGAGGTGCTTCTCCTTCTCAGGGACAGTGGCCTTGTCCCCAAGAGTCGGGGCCTCTCAATCCAAATCAGACTCTTCCTATGCCCTATGCTTGAACAAAAAGAAATCAAGCCGGCACTGAGTTATCTAGCTCATAGTTGTGCACCCACACCCATCCATACCCACAAGAATTGGCCACCTTCGATGTTGAGCGACATTCTGAGAATAAAGTCTGTGATCTTGCAAACCCTGAAGCATTGGATAGCATCGGTAATGTTTTAGAAATCAATTGATGATATCATGCCTGCCTTGTCCTTTCGAACGTTTCTTTTGTCACTGGATAAGAGTCAAATGTATGTTGCATGTTTCAATGGGATGACACAATACTATATTATTTTGAACTCTGTTTAGTCGAGAAAGGACAACATAGTTGGAGGTGTGTATATATAGTTTGCTCCTCGTAGAGAGCTTCTGATATGTTTAACTCGCACTGATTTGAAAGATGTTCTACACTCCGAAGCATCACAACAAAATTTGATTGAACGAGGACCGTTTCTCTTGCTGAAAGCGGTACCGTATCCACGTATAAAGGCATATTAAAGCATTAAGTGCCGTATCCGTATTAGTGGCATCAAGAACATTTGAAATCCTTTGTATGTTCAAAGGCTTGAGCCTTTCTTGCAAAATTGCAGGTCCAGCTCGGGTCATGCAGGTGAAGTCCATGCTACAGAGCTTGTTGCGTCGGTGTCCGAGTTTGTGCTTTTCTGCATTGTTCTACTTGATGGGCTGGCGCTAACCCTATCTAGCCCTTCCTCGAATAAGGTCCTGATGGCACCGTCAGTTTTCTGGACTTTCTGAAAGTAGTGCATGGGCCTCAGGTGAATTGCTGCAAGTTGCAATTGAACTAGCTGAACGGCGAGACATTTTGAAAAGCTTTTACACATTTGGAGGTTCCTTCTAACCTAAAATTTCGAGATTTGACAGTGTAGAAGTCTATCTGAACTTGAAGCTTCTAGATATAAACTAAATATAACTAAGCGCTTACTTATATATATATTATAGACAATTGCTGCGACTCAGTCTCAGTTGGAGTGGTTGGACAGATTTATTTTGAGTACAATTTGCAATTTTGATTGTTGCTTGACAGACACACCGCACGCACTTATGTGTATGTGTAGTGTGTATGTCACATGACAGACACTTCCATGTCACATTGCTACATTGTTTGGGGCACTCCTAGATTCATCGAACCAACGCCTACAGACCGCCACAGGCGAAAACCAGCGGGCTATCAACCACTTAGGGTCTACAGTTTTTGCATGTTTTAGCCTTTTCCCCAATCGTGAGTCTTTGCACCAAAGTCGTCACGATTGCTTTGAATTGGTCAAAACCCTATAACTTTCTAAACCGCAAATCCACCCCTCCAAAGCCAAAGCCTTTGTGTGCCTAGAATGGTGCGGCTATTGTTCTTTACCGGACTTAGTCTCAACCTCGTAAAGCCATCCGATTGACCAATGCGATGCCAAAGCCTCCAACCGCCTTTGTAGGGAGTTCAGCTTCCCCTTGAGGCCCGCTGCAGTAGGTAAATGGTTGGCCGCCCAAATACTATAGACACAGTCATGCGATTGCTGATTGCTGTTGTAGCCGCAGAAGTGCTTGGAACGATAGAAGGAGCAGAGAAAGTATGTGCTCTGATTAGAACTTGCACTTTTGGCATTGCTTCAGAATGCCTACCTTGTTCCCTCGCTCGTACTGCCACAACGAGCACTGGTAGTAGTGCTTCCTCTATGACCAGTGGTGGCTCGACCTACACCTGAAAGCCTAAAGCTGGACGACTTTGCTTCGCTCAACTGGCAACTTATATAATAGGTTTCAGAATTTTTTTACGCACTACACAGTCTTGATTCTTCGCAAACATTCAGATCATCGATATTTCTCTCGGCGTTTTCTCAGCGAAATGTTCTTGTGTTTTCGTTAGTTTGCTGCTTTTCAACTCCAACTTATTCATCACAGTTTCAACGTTGAGGACCTATTTAAAAGACCTTGAGAAGGAGAAAGTTGGGAAAGCGCCGCACAGATTTGTGTACGTAGTTCAAGCATTTTCAACCATGTGTTTGTTGTTGTTAAACAGATTGTCGACCGCAATCTGGCCAGATTGTCGACGAGCTCACAGACCAGAATTGCTGCGTTCCTGCCAGGGAGGCCGAGAAGTTGAGGTAGGCAGTCGAGTATGGAGCTGGTTATGTTGAGCCGTTGAGCCATGTTGAGCCTGTCAGGTTTGCACATTCTTTCGATCCTGCGGCTTGATTTCGAAGGCACCCTCACTTTTGGCTTTTGCAGCACTGGAAGACCACAAGAACAGCTGTGGCTGTATATGCTGACATTCATTGCAATGTATATATTTATATATATAATTATACGTGATTGGAGATGCAAGAAGTGGTCCAAAAGCAGTTCCCTGAGGTTCAATCAGAAAGGATGGAGGCGCAGATTCTCAACAGAAGTTCAAAAACAACAATCAAAAGAACAATGCCTCGTGAGGTGCAAGAACTGGTTGATCAAGGCGGCGTAGAAAGATCGTCAATCATTATCCAAGAAATTCAAAGAATAGATTACTTTTTTCAATGCCTTTTGGTTTTCTCTGGGAGACGCTTGCTAGGAGATGGTCGAGGAAGCAAATTTCTGGGTCGTGCTCCAGTCATCGAACTCTGTCGGCCTTCAGCTGCAAAACCTATACGGCCATCGGATGGAATGATACGACGCAGCCAAAGCCTGATACATGAGCGAGTACACTAGCCTGCTAAGGGATCCGACTTCATGCCCTGCTCAAGGCTCTTAGTTTTGCTTTTGCAGCGCCATATTACATTTATGTTTCAAATGTGTTTAAATGTTGTTACTTGTTTTAGGTGACCGCAGTTGAGCGAGAGCGCCAGTATGTGCTTACAAATGGGGGGTGGTGTGCGGCCCAGAAGCACCATTGCCATAGCGCACTGTGATGCACTGTGTACGTAAGCCGAACCTCACGGAATTCGTTAATCCATGATCGGAATCTCACTTTTGTGAGGACTGAACATGACTACATTGATTTCAAGAAAGCCTTCCACCGGTACGATGAGGATCCGCACATGGATATAAGCAGAATCTGACAGTCAAGCAAGCACTTCTAGTTGGAGGCCAGTCAGTCATCTCAACTGATCGTCGTTTTGAGGACATGTCAGACATACTGGAGCGAGATGAGCTCAAGCCTAAAACGATTTCCCAAGCATTTGGGGCTGGAGCTTTTCATATCCGTTGCACTGGCCATTGGATTTAATTTCAATATCACTACTGTACCTTCACCTACCGCTAGGCCATTTCTTTGCCACTTGGCTGAGGCTGGTCCAGGCGATGGATCTTTTGTGTGGCAATGTTTGGAGAGCGCAGCATTCGACCCAGCTTCACCAAGGGGCTGAAGTTGATGTTGACGCCAGCAGCAAGAGACATGTGCAAGACGTGGACTTGAAGAAGACGCCAAAAAGGAAAAGACGATGCTAAGAAGAGGCGGTGTTGAAGTTGGCCGGTTCAAGTCTAGATTTCGCAGGGCGAGTGTGAACATGATGCTGGCAGCTTGCGGAGTTGAGAGTGAAAGGGAGATCAAGGCCAGAAGTAGCAGCAACGGAAGAAAAACGCAAGGATCCAATGCGATTTTATCATGAAGCAGCATAGGAGTTATAGAATCTCGGATGGACATCTGAGTTTTGATCGAACTCTGAAGCTCACAGGTGAACTTCATGTCGTTTCTTCGCTTGCTGCGACTCTGGCCCATGTTGATCCGCCGATGTGGGAAAAGGTTCAAAGAGCCAACCGGAAAAGAGAACGGGATTGAGATGTATGTAACAAAGACATGTTGTGTTCTTCCACTTTTCAAAGAACATCAGGATGGGGACAAAAAGGGCATGCCACAAGTCCCAAAACTCATGTGTGCTCCAGTCCTTTCACTTGCAACACCGACCTTGGCCAGGAAGCTGGTTGATGAAGTGGAAACGCGCCACAATTTGGGCATCACCATGGGATTCTCCCCGGCCAAGCACTCAGGCAGACTAGCTAAAAGAACTGAAACTAGGAGCAAGGGCATCGCTAGTTAAGTTAAGTTGATCATTTTGAATTTGTATCTGAAACTTGCCCAGGAACGGACGGACCGCTTGTACAGTGGCTTCCAGGCCATATTTGCCACAGGCGGTAGACGGAAGCTCTTGTCATCATTGTGAGGCCCTGGATCATGAAGGCCACGGATATGTGCAGAAAGCGTGATACACTCAGCAGATTTTGAAAGGCTCCCTTTTTCATTTGCAAGAATTGACATCGCAGCTGTTTCTTATCATCAAGCCATACTCTTTCCACATTGCGACAAAGCTCCAACCTCACTCTACGGTTGAACCAGTCCAGAGTGCAAAGCGCAGTGCAGTGGCCCATTACATTTCAATCAGCGAAGTCATGGATCGGCGGCAGTCAGTCCATTTGGTGATACATGCCCTGTTCCTGTGTCTTGGTCCAAGAATCTCCAAGAACAGCAGAAGGCTGAAGGCCTGTTAAGCAAAGCACTTGACTTGAGGACACAACACTGTATACATTTGTATACAACATATTTTTGCGCAGATTGTTTTTATTTCAATCCATGTTTTTTCTCAGGCTAGTGACGCCCTTTGTGCATGCAGCTCCCGAGAAAGACCGGGTTCATCATCTTCCTGGCTTAGAGGGTACGCTCTTGTCAGCAACTTATTCAGGCCGGAAGTGCTGGATATCGCTGGGTGCATATTGAATCGAAGTGCCCAAACCATTTCTCCCACTTGATTACTCTCCTTGTAATTGTTGTATCAGGCTACGTTTCAGTTGGTGATTCGGATGGTCGCAAAATGTACGAGCATTACTTGTTCTTTGAAAGTGAAGGAGATCCCAAGAAAGATCCGTTTCTGGGCGTGCCTGCATGTATAGCGTTTTGATCCTTTTTGTATTTCTTGTTCTCGCCCTCATGAATGCAAAGTAATATACTGTATACCACAAGACATAAATCATAATGTTCAAATCGTAAGTTAATAGATAATAACCTGTCGGGTCATGTGATATTCGCAGATGATTGAAGCCAAGTTGCTCATGGCGTGAAAGTACTGGACACCATCCTGGAGATGCTAGAATTAAAGTGCATGTTGTCAGTTGCTTTTTGGACAGGACGAGAACATACAAACCAAGGCTCATCATGTGGACCAATGGAGGGCCGGGCGCGTCGTCTCTCATTGGTTCATTCACGGAGCTGGGCCCATACTACTTGTCGGCAACTTCCCTTTCCACGGAGGCGATGAACAATGTCAGAATGGAACCACTGACGCCACACCATCCTTCAAACTGCATACAGCACGGACTGATGTCCAACCTGATGAATCGAAATGGTCCAGCGAGTAATTATATACCTGTCTTGCCTTAGGACTACAGAAAAACTGGCATTCCAAGTTTGTTCTACAGCCCATACCGATGCTTGGCTAGTTCTGCTGGACTTTCCTCTTGCATGTCTTTTTTGACATATCATATCATTGTTTTCTGCTTTATTTAAGTGTGTCTTCTGTCAGCACTTGGGCATAAAGAGTTTGTAACACGACAGTGTTACACAAATGTGCAAGCAATTGAGTCAGAGAAATACCGCAGAGGATGGACAAAGCTTGGATCATTGATTATTCGAAACCTGCCACCACCGGTGGGGTTCTCCTATTGTGACCCAATTGGCCCTTCTGGCGACGGACGCAGTTGTGGTTCTTGGAACGACACCAAAACAGCAAAGCACAGTCGGATTTTCATGGAGAATTGGATGGCTGCCTTCCCAGAGTGGCGTGACCTGCATGTTATGTTTAGCAAAAGTGTGATTCAGAACAACACAGAGAGTGGCACATCCCATGAAACTTTGATCATCTCTGACACTGAGGTATGGTTCTCATGACCTCTTTCTAGTAGGAGAGTCATATGCAGGCGTTTATGTGCCAATGCTGGCAAGGGAAATTCTCCAGCAGACAACTCATCCAGGACTGAATCTTTTGCAACATTGATTCAGCAGCTTCTAAGGGACATGCACTAGTACTCTTGTCACTCTGCAGGTTTGAGAAAGCAGCTTAAGGGCATTGCAGTGGGTGATGGATGCAACTGTGGTGTCGTCGGCAGTCTGCAAGAGTTTGTGTAGCAGCTGACTTGACACTGGTATGTTGGCGACAGCCTGCCAAATTTGCGCATCACCCTCTCTGTTTTTGAAAGATATTGACGTTTGATGATGTTTGTTTTTCATGACATCCTTGTTGCTCAGAAGGGGAGCAGACGGCACGTTCCAAGTCCACTTCTGGTGGTGGCTGCATAGAGACTGGTGGCCCTTTCTTCACAGTGGAGTTCTTCCATGGTCACGGACAGCGGCTTGTTTGTCCATATTTCTGGAGTTGACATGAATCGACCACGCGTTTGCTTTCATTCAAAATATCCAACGATCATCAACGATCTTTTTTGCATTTGGATGCCTTTCGTTTATCTCGATGACTCTTGCTCTGTAAGCTGAAGAAAGCAAGGTTCTCCGATAAAACGTATGCTGAAATCCAACGAACATGCTCGAGAGAGGACACTTTACTGTTGCATTGTCTCTTGGTTTGTGCCACTGCTGATTGTCGTTATCGACGCCAGTAAGCTGGCATCGTTGCTAGGAGCTGGTGAATGGAGTCAAGAGCCAGGATTGTAGAGCGGCCCTCTCCAAGATGGATGCAGAAAGAGGCTAGCCGCAAACCCACAGGGAGCAAGGACAGATAGGCTCAAGATGGACTTTGTAACAATGCCCTTGATCAGTCTTGCTCATTTCAGTAGGACGATTGCTAGGCTAGCAAGTGTAGTGATCTCTGGAGGATTTTGGAGGCTACCAATGGATGTTATTCTCAGGCTATTCCTTTGAATACAACCTCTATGACGAGTGCTATGGAACTGACCTGGTGCCTTGGCGAAGAATTGAACAGCACAATCTATATAACTAATTTACACAATGGAACGGTTCAAAAAGTAACAGATCATGTCATCATGTCTAAAAAATGTCTCCACAATTTCACTCACGCATGTTTTCTCAAATAATCCAAGTACGGGCAGCTACCATGGAGAAGCTCATCGTGGGCGGAGATTCACCAACGAACATCTTGGCACATGGATGGTGCCTTGCCTCCACCATCACAAGGAGTTCACTGAAGGAGTCCGCAGATGTCTCGGTGACAACTTGTTCTCTCATGTATCCCACCTCCTTTGAAGTTGGTTCATTCATGTTCATTCAGTGCTTGGTTCTATGTAACAAGTGCCATCAAGGCACACCTTGTGGAGGGATCAGGGCATTGCGTAAGTGGGTCAACACAAGTGCTCCTTGGCAATTCAATGAAATTTGAAGAATAGACCTTTTCAACCTCTTGCAGAATTGGGCACGTTACATGTATATATTCTTTTTTTGACTGCCATTGGCCATTGTTTCTTGCAGATCGCATGTTTTAGAAAACCGCTAAAGTACTGCCACAGTGCGTTGTCACTCTATTCGCAGCGCCATTGCTTTGGAGGGCTTTGCATCGTGGGCTTGCGCTCAAGTTCTTGGGCATGTCATTTTATAGAACATTCCCCCGTATTGGAGACTCATGTGGCATGAAATGCATGGGCAGTTGTAAAGCTGGCACTGGTGGTACTGTACTGGCAACAGCGTTGAGGTTCGTCTCAAAGCTACAACCTCCGAACTGGGCTAGACCCACTAGCGGCATGGTTTGGCTGAGGGCCTGACGAAGCGTCTTCTGTGACTTCCAAGTCTCGTTGGTGTTCTTGCCGATGGTTGGTAGCTGGTTTTAGATGCTCTTTGCTCTGAAGGTTTGAGCATCAACTTGCACAAGCTGATTGGCACTCATTTTAGGAGCTAGTGACTGCTAGTGACAGGCTCCACAAAATCATTTGCTCCAACAGGTGTGCTCATGTGCTCCAAATATGCTCCGGGCTCCATATTAATATGATTCCCTTGCCATTCACAAAAAAACATCACGCGCTAAACTCCAAGCAGTAGCTCCCTTGCCACGCTCAGATGTTGATGATATTGTATGTTTAACTATTTATATGTATATATACGCAGTCTGCCGTGTACGATGGACGATGGCTGCATGACAATGTTTGTTTCAGGTCACATAAGGGATAATAAGCACATGTATATATATATATATACACAACACTCTGATGACATCTGGCCCACTGAATAGACTATATAATGGAAACGGGCTCCCCAAGCCTCTTACCGGAGAGCAGAGCTTCAACGCGTGGATGCCATCAAGCTGTGCGGCCGGAATGGTGTGTCATTTGCTATGGTTCGATGCGTTTGTCATAAACCTCACTGGATGCCATCAACTTGTGTTGGGTTGCGACTGGTTTTGCTAAATGGCATCTGGATGTCAAAATCACAAACTGATGGCATTCCAAAGGCTTTCTGTCAATGCCAATTGATTATGAAACCCTATATAGTGAGTTAATATATGTCAATAGGGATGGGGTCCCAGTATAGTCGCTATACAGGTACATGCCATATACTTTTGGCTCAAGTGCCCAACCAGGTAAAAAGGAGCTTTAGCGCGCGAGCTTCATGTTGACCTAAGAGCTAGAACGGGGCCAGGGCACACCTTTCCATCCGTTCACAGGTTATCAGCCGTATCCAGACTCCTTTGGGCTGGGTACGAGCTGCGGCCTTACACAACACCATCTAAACGCACACGCATCGGATAGATCAGTTACCCTCAGTCACTGAAGATGGACCAATCCGACGCCAGCACTGCATCTTTTGGAGCAGCTGCTGCGGCCGCAGATCGGATGAGTGCATCCCACAACTCTAGTCCAGGTACGATCGAAGCGGAGACTCTGACAGCGGTGAGAGAAGATGCGACAGGTAGAGCACGAAGTCGTTCCCCGTCAGCGCACTCGACACCACCGTGGGGGACACCGAGATCAGGCCGTAGCCCTAGGGAGACAAGGAGGAGGACTGACACCGGAGCTGTGAGAGTGTTAGCATTGGAGGATGGGTCAGCTGTACCAGTGCCGTCGGACAGCGAAGCTGGAGATCGAGCAAGGGCAAGCACTGACAACCTACAACTAGCACGGGCCGATGGAGACCTGAATGCGAAGTGTGCGCAACTACTTGCCGAAGTGCATATGTTGAACCACCAAAACGCATGGATGGTCGAATGTGAGCAGAGACAGAACCAGATTATACAACATGAGACCGAAGTCCACGAAGTAGTGATGGCACACCTCGAAGAATGTTATGTCGAAGGATATGGAAATCAACGAAGAATCTCCCAACTTACAGAATCCAGAGACTGTTTGCTCTCAGCAGCACACGACCTGCAATACCAGATGGACACTGATCGTGTGGCAATGCGGGATCGTCTCACCCAGTTAGGGGAGTACGCTGATCGCAACAGCGCAGAGATGGTTAGTCAAGTTGTGAACATCGGCACGGAAGAGATCCAGGCTATATCGGCGGAAAGAGATCGAGCCGTAACCGAGATCATGACTACAATCGCAGATGCTGAGAACGTCAAGGATCTGTGTAGACAGGAGTTAGTTGGACTACAAAGGCAGAGTGCCAGAAACAAACACGAATATGCTGAAGAGATGAAGATGAGGGAAGCAATGTATGCAAACAAGATCAAATGGTTATCAGAAGAGAATGAGGAGCTCAACAACCGATCTAATACTCAGGATAAGTTCATCTTGAGCATCAGAGAGCAATTGAAGAAGGCGAACGAGGAGTTGACTCAGACGAGGATTCAAGGATCCGATCGATCGTCTCAACCATCTAGCGCCGAACTCAAGAAGGCCGAAGCCAAGGTGAACATGTTGGAAGAGGACATTCTACGTAAAGAGAGGATGCTGAAACGTCTCCAGGAAGAATTGATCGAATCAAGCGCAAGTGAAGCACAATTGAAGGTCGCACTGAAGTTGAAACCACCAGACATGGGATCAGAACCCAGTGTGGAGAATGAGATGATGGCCAAGCTTAGAGCGGAACTTGAACGTACTGAAAAGTTATTAAGGTCCGAGGAGAAAGAGGCAATTGAGTACTACGAAGGTATGATGCAGAACCAACAGGACATGATGGAATTCGAAGCGCACGCATCACGGCTCAGAGATGAGAGGAATAAGTACCGGAAGAGGTACGAAGAGGAGCGCACAAGTGCAGAGAGCGCAGCCGCAACCGAACATGGTGCCGCTTCATCCTCTAGCTCAGGCGGCTCCAAGATATCTCGGAAGGAACACGAGAAGATCAACATCCCTGCATGGCCCAAGATACACGACCTGGAGGTTTGGAAATCCCAGGTTGTAGCGGCAGTCGTGACGGCATCGGGCGACGAGAAACAAGAAGACTGGATCCAATGGCTCTCGGATGCCTTCAGATCACCATATGACCCATTTCTACTCGAGACATCAGGCGAAGCAAGATTCGCTAGCATAGACGCTAAGCTAGGTATCACCCTACATACGATCATCCACGCAGCAGGTGAGAGATCTCATGACGTACAACTGAAGGTGAGGCAGATGATGCAGAGACGTGCGAGAGGCACAATTCCTGGAATGGTCAAGGGACGAGAAATGTTAGCGTTGATCGTCGATAGTTTCCGGAGTGCCGACAACGTTGATGTGATGTATGCATCCAAGCACTTATTCGATCTAAAGTTCCCTGGGGATAATCAACTATCCAGATTCCTTGGACAGTGGGATGAGATCATATCAGGTATGGATGCGGATGACATGCTTCCTGACAAAGCACTTCGCAACCTGCTTTGGGATAAGATTAAGGATTCCAAAGTTATGGCGTTAGACTTGTCTGTGTACGACAACATGTTGGACAAGGATCCGGATAAGACCTACCAGAAGTTACGAGAGTTCATGACGAAGTGGATACGGAAATCAATTGAGACCACAAACAAGAAAGAAAGGGAGAAAGCTTTTGGGAACATCGTGAAAGCCACACCAGCGGCGGAGAAGAAGGAACCTAAAGCGAAACCCAAGAATACCAAGACCGATCCACCGAAACATGACGCCGCTCCAGTGCTTCCTCAGGCTAATCCGAAGGACCACAACAAGAAGGACAAGAAGCAGGATCGTGGAAGATCAGCCACGAAGAGCCCAAAAGGGGATCGTGGCAGGTCAGCGACTCCAGCAGATACGTCTAAGATAGGATGCGCTTTCCACTTCCATGGGAAAAACGGATGTTCTAGAGGAGACAAATGCAAGTTTAGTCACCAAGAGAAGCACAAGAGTTCTGCTAAGAAACCAGAAAACCTCAAGGGTGACAGATCAAAGAGTCCCGGTGGCAGGAGCAGTAGCCCTAGGCCAGTGAAGGATCAGATCTGTTGGAATTGGCAGAAAGGATCGTGCAAGTTCGGGGACAAATGTCAACGTCAGCATCACGCTGCTCCTGCTACAAAACAAGAGGCTAGAGGCAAAGCCAAGCCCAAACCGGCTGCGCCAGCCTTCATGCTTTGCGGAGACATCGAGAGTGATGACGAGGACGTACAACCCGCACTTCCCAACGTACAACAAGGTAAGCTGGCGCTTCGCTTTAAAGTCAGATTCGATGACCAGGCGAATGTGACCACGTTCACCTGCGATCCTGGTAACGAGCTAAACAACCGTCCCTCCAAGAAGAAGGAGAATGAGGTGCAGAAGGTGGATACCGAGCTCATTTCGTCGTTGAGAGCCCTCAGAGTGAGCAACATAGCTGCACGAGTAGCACATGCCAAAGGTAAGATGATGGAGCTATTCTATGCTGAAAACATTGCCAAGGCATGGATACAAATCACTCAAGATGAAGGAATCGAGGTGAACGTCGACCTGTCTGATTTCAACACCAGAGAGGTAGTAAGGAGGGATTTTGTCGACTACACGATACCAGGAACCACGATGTTCATGGCTGTGGAGAGGTATGATGGACCACCAATACGCTTCATCATGGACACAGGATGTGGACACGATTTGATCTCAAGAGAGAAAGTCAGTGCCATGGGCCTTACCACCAAGGAAGGACCCAAATCCGTGAGCTTCATGACAGCGAATGGTGTAACTAGTACATCAGAGATGGTGGACATCAATGTGGACGAACTACCCATGAAGTCCGAGGCACACGTGTTGGAAAGCACACCATCAGTCTTTTCCATCGGGAAACGATGCATGGAACAAGGGTACTCATTCATATGGCCGGCAAATCAATTGCCATACCTCATCGACCAGAACGCGAACAAGATTCCGCTATCGGTGCATGACAACATACCCTACATCAAGGTGAATGATGATGACGGGAGATGTTTACCAAGACCAGACGGCTTGGCTACGATAC